ATCACCACGATACACGTTATATCGTTTCCCGAAATGCTCAATGTTTGTAATACTTTTTTGTAGCCAAGTTTCAAAGAAAGAGATTATCTGAAATGGACACGATTTCGTGGCTAATCGTATCTCATCGACTTTGTCTCGAATAGAATGTGTATTCTGAATATACACATTTAATTTGATTTGATTCGAGACTATTTTTGGCGAGGTTTTTGCTTGTTTTTGATGTGGTGTCAATTTTTGTTCTATTTCTCTTTCGGTGATGGTGATTTCGTTGTGCTCGATGTTTGTGCGAGTCCGTTCGGTGATTTCCCAGTAATGTTGGTCGTTGATCCGGTAAAATCCATTAAATCTGTTTCCGGTGGCTTGCTGATGTTTTTCGGATTTAATGCAGGGAAAAAATCACCTAAAGTTTTGTTCTGCAAGAACTCACGCACAAGAACATCTTCTTCCCACACTTCCGGATTGATCAAAATGTCAAAATCGTCCTCATTTAATTCGATTTTGAATGAAACGAACTTCAATGTAGTGACATCCTTGTCTCTTTTCACCAGTTTGTGCACATTGAATTTCGATTGTTCGTTTACCGATGTTTCATTCACAATGTAATCGATAATTTCTTCGGGTGTTGTCATTGGCTTGAAGCCAGATATCCGAATTGCCTTTTTGAACACCGGTTTTTCAATTCGTTTCGGCTTGACTACAACACTCAGACGATGTGATGCTGATTTTGTACCCATTTTTGGTTGTGGGGCTTCAAATTTCGAGGTTTTATTTTTCGGAATAATTTTCGGTGTAATTTTCGGTGAGTTCTCAATGCGCGGTCGTTTCGCCGAATGAGACTGTGCACCACTTCGTAATGCATCAGCGAATGATTTGGCTGGGGTATGGAAAAACGATGATTTTGAGGCATTTGTCAGTGAAATATTGCGTGGAACAATTTTCTTTTGTGTCGAATCGGTTCGGGCGATAGATTTATGAGCCAAAAATTGTGTATCCTCGTGAATGTCGTTGGCTTTGCTAGTCAATTCCGAAATCATACCTGTTAAAATGTTCAATTTCGATAAAATCGAACCATCCATATCCGATTTTGCCTCGGCAAAACCAACATCAGTCAATTTTGTTTGACGCGATTTGGATGCACCACTCAGTGTTGACACCTTCTCCGTAATTTTCCTTTGAATCGGTTTGGATGGACCACTCGGTGTTGTCATTTTGTCGGTCAACCTCGATGCTCGAACTGCTTTTGATTCACCACTCGGTATATTCAGTTTCCCGCTTAAATCATCCAATGACAGCGGTTCACAACAAACAAACAGAGTGCACGGCAAAATCGCATACATAACCGCATTTTCTCCCAATTTTATTTGCACTGTTTCGAATTTTTCATTTACATTTTCGCATTTGTCAATGCCAAAACAACGCAAAAAACACAAATTTCCACATTTGGCACATTTTTCTTTCGGTCCGGACACATTTTTCGGTTCACAAGTGTCTCTATCACATTTATGCACCATTGTGCAATGCAATGTATCTGCACACCAAATGTTGAATGTTTGTTTAAATGTTTTCACACAAAATATCAAATAACGTCAATGCACTCGATTGTATTCTAATAAATAGTCACTAAAATAATGTTTTCGGTCAGTTTTTAATACATAAATCGCACATTTAATATTTTTAAAAACAAAAAAACGATAGACACATAGAGAGTGTAAACAAACACATTTGACAGTTGACAGTTGTATATTAAAAAAAAAAACAGTATGAATCAGTGATATACTATGGTAAACATCTGATCACCGTTAAAAACCACATCTTTTCAATAATAATCTTACGACCACATACGATATTCTAACGGTCACCCACACGGTCCACCATATAAGACCTTAAGATAGAAAATATCTATGAAAATATTAAGTCCGAGATATTGAGATCTTTTATGCACATTCACTCAATTTCATATGATTTTTAAATAATATTTAAAGTTCGTAAGATATAGTCACTTTATAAAACATTGATTATAATTTTATTTGTTTGGTACAACCTGATTCTTTCTATTATTTCTATTTTTCGCTATTAAGACTTATGTATGCACGAAAATAAAGAAATAGCTATTTTGAGTAACCCATGAATATAATCGGTTAGTATTTTTGGTATTAAACTATGAAAGGAAATTTGTTTTCTATTATTTTGGCGATCAACTAAAGAGTGCCTTCGAAGACTTGCACGAATCAATTTATCTAAGTGATTGGCAATCATTAACTATAAAATTTCGAAAAAAATATTGTAACCATGTTAATGGTGGCCCATCAGCTCGTTTACATGCGCGGATTCGGTGAATATCATTGTACTCAGAGTTATTATGATTATTTATTCGTTACGCATATTCATTCTTTTTTATTTCAAATTCATACTTGTTGACTGTTGTTGTCAACAAGTTTCTTTTTACTCAGAATAGAAAAACTGATTAACTTGTTGAACTGTGACATAGTATCAATTTTAACGTGCGTAACACAAATACAAGCATACATACATTTAACCTTTAACCTTGTCCTTATTCATATTATATGGTCATGTAAATTTTAAATTAAATCAAATGATTTAATTGATTTGAATAGTGTATTTCAATTCAAATGATTTGATTTTTTCATTTTTATTTGAATTTTTTTTAAACAAACCAATAAATAAAACATCATTTGTTACATTCACTTTTTCACATTTTTGGTTGCTTAGGTTTTACATTCGTTTGAAATTCAAATATTTAAATGACCAAAAATGTGAAAAATTAAATGTAAAACATGATGTTTCGAATATTAAATTATTCATTGATTTGATTTGATTTTTTTGAAATCAAAATAAAAAAGTCAAATCATTTAATTTCATGTAAAAAATATAAAATAGTGTATAAAATATACACTAAAAATAAATATACACTAAATATATAGTTTTATATAGTGTATAAAATATACACTACTTTATACAAATATACTTCAAATTATGAATTACTGAACTTACGATTTTTTGATTTAACAATTTGTACTTTACAAGTTTTTGAACGGGTGAATTGATAAAAATTCTATTTATAGTTTTGAATTCATATAATTTTCTACTTTACATTGATTTTTACTTTCAGACCATTCGAATATCATACGATTACTTTACTACTTTGAACGACTTTTTATAATTCAAAAACGAGTTCTTCATTGGCATTCGTTTAAAATGGAAATCAAAAATCCTGTGGTCAGATCTACTCTTCTATCTCTTGAGAACTCTCTTCATTTTTATAAACTGGTTAAATTCGTTCAACTTCTCTTTTTGCATAACTATGATATATATCGAAACGACGTAAAACGTAATATTTGTGTATATTATTAAATACTATATGTTACTTGTTGGCACGATAACTCATTTCCTTTATTAACTGCAGAAAAATATATAAAGTCGAATACATGAATTTCAACTTTAATAACGCACTTGTTATTATTTCACAGCTAACCGAAAATTTAATATCTCACTAACTATTTTCCAACTTAACTAACCACTTTATAATTTGCCCTTAATTTATAAAATCTATTCAATCAGATGAAAGTATTGTTCGAATCGATGAACACACAATTTGGAGAAGAGTTGTTTCAAGTGGAGAGTCATTTTGGTAAAGGTCGACAACTTGAGACATACTTTTCAACAGAACAAGTTCTCTTGATTTTTTTTTATTTTTTTATAGACTGATCAGCTGATCTATATAATGAGATCAGAAATGTTATATTCAAAATATTGGTGTTCAGTAACAAGAAGGTTTTAAAATTTATTTATTATCAATTGATAATATGAATGATTTTAAAATGATTTTGGCAAATTGTTGATTTGAGAAGCACTGCTTAAATCACAATCAAATTGTACATTGTAATTTCAGGTGTCAAATCCTATTTATTATTTATTATATTTGAAGAGTTCATAAATCAATTGATTTAAAATCCAAAATTGAGAACGCTACCAAAGTGTTAGTCATGTGCATGTATGTCAATTGGACTTTTGAACGCCAAATAATATTCTCTCAAAAAATGAGTAGACAGAAAGATTGTCAAATTGTAACTTGTTCTTTTGACATGTCTCCTTTGTGTGATATTCTTAGTTTTTTTATTTTACCACATGAATGAAAAGTGAATTATCCATATGTATTCTGCTTTCTAATGCCATGATGGAAATGTTATTTTTATTCGTAAATTTCACCTAATGCCTTAAATAGAAACCTCATGACTATCTCCAACTGATTTTTTTATGCTTGTTGATTTTTGATCGAAGAGATAAATAGAATTGACCGATAAAATTCGCGACTTAAGAATAGACCTGGTTGATCCATAAGGTTGAACAACAAAATCAATTTGTGTTGATAGAGTTGAAATGAACAAAGCAAATATGGATGAGTTTGTTTACGAAGATGCGATACGAATTGAAGTGGAATATCCCATTGAATTAGAGTGCTCAGAATTGTGTTGTTGTTTCCTTTGTCTCAAACTGTTCAAGATAAAAAAAATCAAGCTTCAGTGGCAGTGTCATAAATAGAATATCATCCAATTTCGTAATGAATTGTGGTTCGATGCTCAGGTAATTGATAATTTTTTTTGAAAATTTCTTGGAATTGTATTTCTGTCATTGACAATCTTGTTTATTAAAAAAAAATCTTCTGTTTTTTGTTGATGGTATCTAAATTTCGATAGAAATACGATATAGTCTCACCATTGAGATGATATTGTTGTTGACGCATTACACTTGTCAACAATATAATATGAAAATAGTCGCAACTCACGTATTTATTTAATCATAGCCAAAATACAATCATAACCTCATATCTTTTGAAAGTCTCTTAACTCCCATTGGAAATGCCTCTCACACACGCGTCATTCATTCTTGACAAATATATCAGACGGATCGAGCTATTTTTTTGCATAAGATAACTTTACTTCTTATCGTATTCCACTATAAATATGACCGATTCTCTCAAGTGACGCTCAATTCAGCTCTAGACGTGTCACGGTAAAAATCGTTGAAAGAAATAAAAATTTAAACTCCTCAAAAATGTATTCGTCGGTGGTAAATACAATAAAACATCACTGGAAATGTAATGGAAAAGTTAAGTTCATTTTCGTTGCGTTGGGTATATTCGTGTCGTTTGTGTATGTTGGAATTTTTCAAGAAAAAATTATGAAAGGCTGTTATGGTGATCCGAGTGATAAATGCAAAAATGGCGAAAAGTTTAAATTTGCGGTGACTTTAGTGTTTGTTAAAAGTTTTTTGGGATTGGTGTTTATCAAAGGTAGTACTTTCGATTTTAAGTGCAGTTAAACTCTTTCTTTTAGGTGCAATTAAATTCATCAACATTGCAATGTGTTATTGCGAAAAAGTGTCGAATATGATCGATGCATTGTGTATGTGCTATTATTAATTAAATTCTACACTTATATTTAAAAAAGCTTAAACAAATATTTAAAAAAATAATTAAATTTCATTTAACAACTGTCAAAACAAATATTATAATACAAAAAAAATCGATTTTAATTCTCTTCATTCAGTCATGAATTTAATACATCCAGAGAAGAAAAAAGACACAACCCATTTTATGTATTATGCATCATCCGCCGCAGCAAATTCATTGTCGATGGTCGGTGCTAATATGTCTTTGCGATGGGTATGTATATGTTTAACGTTTATAGCTAGAGTTTTGAACAAATTTTAAAATTGTAAAAAAGTCGAAGAAGATCATGTTAATTCATTCGTTTTCTCAAAAGGTTTTTTCAATTCTTAATTTCTTTCTTTACCAGGTATCATACCCCGCTCAAGTGATTATCAAGTCAGCAAAACCGCTTTCGGTAATGTTATTAGGACTCATGTTCTGTAAACGTTACACAATTCAGCGCTACTTTTTCGTGTTGGTCATTGTAACTGGTGTGGTGGTATTTAAATTATTTGAAGCAAAAGAAGAAAAACCAGTAAAGACCAAAACAGAAAATCATGAAATATCCGACATGTACCAAATGTTTGGAACGTGTTTGTTGATTTTCAGTTTGACAATGGACGGTCAGTTTGAATTTCAGTCAATGTGAAATGTCATCATTACAGTTTCGTTTCCAATTTTTAGGTGTCCTCGGTGCCATACAAGATAGAATGAGATCAATTCACGCACCAACTTTTCGTCAATTAATGTTTAACACATATCTTTGGGGTTGTGGTTACCTAATCATAGTCATTTTGGTGACAAAAGAATTTTTGGGCGTTTTCCCATTTATTGGTCGTCATCCTGAAGTATTGTGGCACTTTTTGACATTCGGTATGGCCGATGCCATCGGAAATGTATTTATCTTTACAATGATCTCATGTTTTGGTGCATTGGCATGCTCTGTCACAGGCACCGTTCGAAAATTCTTCTCCGTTATATTTTCGATCATATTCTTTGGTCATCCATCGACACTTTTACAATGGTTCGGTGCATGTTTAGTATTCGCTGCATTATTGGCTGATGCATTCTTTGGCAAAAATAAGAAAAAATCGGTAAAAGAATTGGAAAATGAAGATATTGAAAAAGGAGAATCATCAGGTAGTGATGGATCGAAAGTTGAATGTGTTGAAAATATCGGAAAAGGAGAAAATGTCACAGAAAAAGGAGCGGACATCCAGACTGTTTCGGTTCATTCGGTTCAGAAAGGAGACGAAAATAGATACTAGTTAGTTTTGCCTTTTTTTTAGTAAATATTTTTATTATTTTTGTATTTATTTTCGCAAGTATTTAATAAATAAATAAACAAAACAGAAAAATAAACAAAAAAATAGCGAATTTCAATTAAACACATCTCTCAATTCAACCGCAAATAACATCAACAAAATTGTTCACTCAACAATAGATATAGTATGGCCCTGATATACGTTGGATTTCTTTGAATAATAAAATTCCCTTAAAATTTACAAGCATTTCAAGTAGTTCGTCATATAAATGACGTATTCGGATAGGAAATAAACTTCATTGTTTTATTACACTCTTGTTTTTTCTCTTTGCAATATGTGTAACACTTCATTTATCTGTGTAATCTCAGTTTCTCAAGCGGTATTGATAAAGATTTATCAAACTTTTTATAGAATCGAAGCCAACATCATCGTCTGTTGCTGTTGTTTATGAATTTGCTCGTTCAACAACCACTCAACATTGATTTAATTCGGTGTGAATTTTCCACTGATTCTCACGCCGTATCGCGTAGAAAAAAATCTCAATGGGTCAAATAAATATTGCAGTCGTTCTATTTTTTGTGTACACTATACAGGTACACTTAACAATGTTTATGCGTTGTTCTTTACTTGATGAGCAAAAATGGTAAAATTCCTACCGATTTTTTTTTTAAGCATAGAGTGTCAACTGTTTATGTATCATACATGTTCTGAATGTTTTTTTTTTCTCTTTGAAATTGGACATTGTTCTCATCAACAAATTCAATCAATGCATAACACTTTAAGAGAAAGGCTCTTCAAATTGGCGACAGTTCGATTAGAATCATGTAAGGACGAAGTACACATTTGAAAGGAATATTCCAAGCGACAATTATGCCTGACAACAATCACGACGCAAATCGAATGAAATACGTAATTTCGCGGCTCCAGATTGATGACTTTGATTGCAATCATGAGTGAAGTACTTCCAGTTTCACAAGATAAAATAAGTGCAACGCATTTATCAATTTTTTTTTCGATTATGGTCACCTAGTTACAATTTTTGATGGTTCAGTATTTTCGAAGGTTCGCGTTCATTTATTATTATCAATGAATTTTTTTTATTTGTACTTTTTTGATTATTATTGCTTAAACCTTGTCCTTTGACAATACACATTCATTTTACATGATTTAAAAAAACCGACCGAATTTTAGTGTTATTAAGACCATTTCATACTTTCTAATACCTATAATATTAGAGAATGTAGTATGATTCCTTTGGTCACCTTTTTTGTCAAAAATATTTAAAAAAAAATGTGTAGTAAAAAAATCGCTTTTTTATAAGGGAGTTGATGAAAAAGTGAGTCTAATGTCAAATTTAAATATGCATTTTAATGCGAGCAAAAGAGACAATATATAAATTTCACCAATTCAGACTTGCCCATTTCAAAACCGTTCAATTTAAATAAGCATCAGACTGACAAAAGCGCCTCACTTGACTATCTATGCAACAGATGTCGTTGTAGTCGCATCACATTGGCCAATGCGTATGAACATCGTTCAAAGCACCATCGGAAGAAATCTATTATTTTTTTCACAGTTCAAGTTGTCATTTGCAGTAGTGTGGTTCGTATCAAATGCACATTGTTCGCATAATATCTATACAAAATTCATTTGCATTCATGTTTAATCGATTGGTTTTTTGTCAAAATTCGATTGATATCGATTCGTTGTGTAAAGTGAAATTGGTAAATTGAATTGAGTGTACATAAGTTAGAAATAAAACGAATGTCATTGCTTTAATATCGCGTGTTGGGCCTATAAAATCCACATTGAATCATTTTTCACTCGGTTTTCGGTTTTCGCATTTACGTTTCTCATGTGCTGTATGGAATTTTTTTCTTCGTCTTTCATTCTATTTGCTCTCGGTTGTCGTTCATCCGCTTGAATCGTGTGCGTTTTTTTACTTCTCTGCTCTCGGACACACATATTTCACAATTGTTTCAGAGCGAATTTCATTTGTTGTTGCAATTACTTCCAATGTTTGCCGAAGTTTATAAATCGTTTTTTTTTTATATTTATAGAAAGAGAGAGAAAGAGAAATAAAATTTATTAAGAGCATTAGTAAAAATGACGGCAACTTGTGTGAGAATATATATACAAGAATCTATGTACAGAGAGAGAGAGAAATTTTTTATATTTTATATATATGTTGTAATCACGGTGAATAAAATTGAGACGGAGAAAAAAAAACGAATGCGAGAGAGAGAGCCCGCGCGAGATAAATAAATCGAACGTGAAGAAATTGGCACAAAAACATTGATTGGCATGAAATGGTATTGGTCTGCAAAGGTCATCTGGAAATGAAATCGTTCGTTTCTCCATTTTAATCAGTTTTAATGTGACTGTTGAGTATGTTTACCCAGTAAATTAAATCACTTTCGATATCAATCGATTAGCAATACAGTTTGAAATGGCGCTTTGATTCATAACCAAATATATATATTTTTTTGAAATCTCAATCGGTTTTCCATTTTCTATATAAATAAAATAAACGGTGATTGTCGATTTTTTTTGCCCGACGCATAGAACAAAGTAAGATACTTCGGAAAAGTTTATTATCAAAAGTAAACAGCAAAAGGGAAACCGCATAGCGGCAGAATGACGACGATGACGATAAATACGGCATCAAAAATAACAACATGGAAGTCAAGTGTGAATATTCATGACAGTGATAACGAGCGAAATCAATTTTATTATAGCATTGAAATTGGTTCTTATTACTGCATTCTCTCCGAATGTACTCAATGTTCATGATATTCAATGTGCCGTTTTTTTCATTTAACGTCAATAAATTTCATTTTGAATTGTGGAACGTATATTTTTGCATGCCCATGCCATAAAAAAATGTATGACAAATCACGTAAAACGGTCGTTGCATCACTGTTTCGGTACTTCAATTCAAATTTAGACCGTCCAAATAATGAATTCACTATTCACCATTCCAACATTGAGAGACTGATTTTTCATTTTATTTTTCACCGAAATTTCCTCTCCGCGATGTGGTGAAGAGTGATGATTCACGTAAAAAAAATCACTTCCAAAAAAATGCATTTATAAAATGGATCGAAAAGTGTATTTGCATTGGAGAAGGAAGTGTTGCATTTCCCAGTTCATTTTTTCTTCCTAAAATGTTTGCCAAACCGCTAAATACAATTGGCTTCTGCATTCATGCATAAGAACAATATCCATCAGCTACAAATGTTGCCGTTTAACTATGGTTCAAATGACGTTTCAACCTAGCTGTGTCGTTGATTGTGCGCACTACATACTTTCACATCTTTTTCTCTCCCCTCCTATTTCACTCTCTCCCTCTCTTTCCCTTTCTATCTCCCTCTGAGCATTAAATTCGAGAAAATTCATAATTTTCCGCAATCGACTTTGAATGTATTTAGCAGCCGGCAATTGAATACGGTGAAATTGCAATACCGTGACAAAGTATATTATATCAAGTGTATTTTAATTTTTCTAAAATGTCATCTAGTTCAAAGTGTTGTAGGCCATCATAAAATCAATGAGCCTTACCTAGCTACGCTCTATAAGTTTGACATTTTAAATTATAAATTTAATAAGTATTTTTTTTTCTCTGCTTGGATCCGATTGTACTTGACCACAGACTATATGTTCTCATGTGTTTACATTCCATATTAAGTGATATATGGGCAGTTTGATGCACGCATATTGCGACGTATTTTAGTGAATAGCGACCGATTGATGATTGAATCACCGAAATAAATTAGAAGAAGACACACGTCATTTATCGTTAGCACAATTCGATCAAAACACATTTGTGAACATTTAATTGAATATTTTAGATGTGTGTGAATGTTTTTTGTCGCTTAGAAAATGTGTGTCAATCGAATTGAGATCTGAAAATCGTGCGTGTCTGTGATGTGAACACAAGTGTTAAATTAAATTCAAATTACTTCTAACGTGACGTATCGAATAATCAAACACGAAACATTTTTTCACATTATGATAACGTCAAAAAATAATTTTTTCATAACATTTAAGAACAGAATATTTCAATTTTCCATCAATTTCTGTGTATTTTTTTTCTCCAGTGATCTTTATTTTATTTGTCTAGGGAAAAAATCTTGCCACAAAAGCAAATAAATTGCTGTGTAAAAAAGAGTGAGCACAAAATGTTGGTGCTTTGACACCGTGCCCGATGAAATGCTCAATGATAATTTTCTACTTTATTGATATGCCATAAAAAATTTATTCGCTAGAAGCTCAGATGAAGATTGATTTTTATGACGCAGCAAATATTGTGCACATTTTTTTTTCTCAAAACGATAACATATATAATAATAAATGAGATGATAGTTGATATCATGGCCCCGGGATTTTTTTTTTCGTAGTGAAACTTCCGTTTTGACGCCACATGGAGTCAGCAAATTATGTATCTTTTCAATGATATAATTAGCGTTACACCTGTGGCAGAATAATCCTAAGCCACTCGATGAGATTGATGATGATGGTTAACTGTTCTAGTTGCTATCTCAACAGTCTTTGGCTTTTGATGATTTTTCCAATACTGTACGATTTCGTCAAGTTTGAAGCTTGGAATTTTGTTAGCTGAAAAATCAACAAACAAACAAAAAAAATGTCCTAAATAAATACTCATGGATTATAGTGCAGCCATGTAACAAGATAATACATTCCATTCTCTTTTTTTCGATTTTTAGAAACACCAGTATACAAAGGAGTACCTCCATCATCCATTCAGCACGACCAGTCTGTTGATTTATCGTGCATGATTTCCCATAGGCAATATTCAAGTCATAGGTACACCATTATCAGTGTCATATTTTTTAATTCATAGCGCTTATTTATGTCTTTTATTAATATAATCTTCATCTATTTTCAAATAAATTTAATCTTTGCCTTTCGTTCGTTTTGTTAGGACTTCAAAATTTTCCAGCAATAGACACCGGAAATTGCAGCCATTCAGAGAAACGTGAGGCAGTGTCATCGTCGTTCTATATGAACGCGAACAGCGAGAAATTTTCGTTTTAATTTAGTTCCTTACAAACAAAAAAAATCAAAAAAAAAAAAATACACAGAAAAAACGTTATTTAATTTACACCAATAAGTTTTGTTACAACGATTTTTTCCAACAAAAAAAATCGAATGCTTAATTTTCGTTAAAATCAAATACACCTCAAATACACGTTAGTTACTTCAAACCGCAAACCACGTAATCCATTCAGTGCAGGATTTTCCATTTGAAAAAAAAAAAAAACACCGCTAAGTAAGTACTGAAACCAAATCCCATTGAAACCATATATCTAATTGATCATGTTCAGTCAATCAATTGTCGCATATTTCAATGCGTATTTACGGTGTGTATTCCATTTCCGATTTACAGGCCGTCGCTGGATCAAAAAGTGCAAGCACTAAACGAACCCAGCCCCGTCGCAGAAAAAGCAACAACATTTTTGTTATCTTACACCAAGCAATTCGTATAAAATTCGACGCTTAAACGCGTGTTTAAACATAGTTTTTGCGAACCGTTTTTTAAAAGTGATAGTCACCACGTTGAGCCGATTTATTCATTACTTTCCCATGAATATACGTAAAACTATAACCAATTTCATAGGACCACATCATTGTCGTTATCGTTTTATAGTGAAATAAAACGGGTCATTTTTCTCCATCACACAATACAAATGAATTTATCGATCGTAGTGCACCGGGGTGTGTTTGCGTGAAAACTACTAAAATTCGTTGTGTACATTTGCACAAACATCGTGTGTAACAACGTCGTGCCGAAGTAATATCAATTGATGCGCATCACAATTTAAGTCCAATTTCGAGCGAGTGTTGATGGTGAGAAATTAGTGAATGCAATCGCATCACAATTTTTTTCGGTTGTTAATTGTGTACGAACAGAAGATTTCAAGATATTCGCCGAAGGTTACGGAAGCGAATCGAAAAAAATAGTCCTGGAAAAAGAACAGAGATAGAGAGTGTGTGTGTGTGTGATAGAGATCGAGAGATAGAGTCAAGGTACAAGAGATTGAAAGAAATAAAGATCATTTTATCGAGTTAGAAAGAAAAATCAAAGCAAAATGGCCACCGTTAACGTAAACCGTGGCGTTACCGATCTTTTTTACCGTTATAAAATGCCGCGCATTTCCGCCAAAGTCGAAGGCAAAGGTAACGGCATTAAGACGGTCATCGTCAATATGGTCGAAGTTGCAAAGGCGCTAGGTCGCCCGGCGACTTATCCAACCAAGTATTTCGGTTGTGAATTGGGCGCTCAAACTCAATTTGATTACAAGGTAAAACGAGTACGATGCCACTTTCTTTTTCTCTTTTATTATTATTTGGATTATTTCATTTCAAAATGTTTTTTCTCCTTTTCTCGTTCGAAACAGCATGAACGTTTCATTGTCAATGGTTCGCATGATGCTGAAAAACTACAAGATTTACTGGACGGTTTTATCCGGAAGTATGTATTGTGTCCAAAATGCGATAATCCTGAAACTGATTTGAAGGTGTCAACCAAGAAGGATACCATTTCGCAAAGTTGCAAGGCTTGTGGTTTTCATGGTCCATTGGAAGTGCACCATAAGGTATGAATTCTTTCTTTTTATGTTTTTCTTTCCCTCAAAATATTGCAATATTAAAATACAGACACTCCAAAATATATTTCATGAATTTCTCATTTTTACATTGCCTTCGATCAGGTCAATACTTTCATTATCAAGAATCCACCCAATATCAATCCGGCAATGCAAGGTTCATCGTTGACCGAAGGAAAGCGTAGCAAGCGATCAAAGAAAGCCGGTGAAAATGGCGACAATTCAACGGTCGATGGTGATACATCGGTCATGAGCAATGCCGATGAAAGTCTTGGTCAAAACGCAAGCGTTGTTGAAGAAGATGATGATACCACATGGACAACTGATGTATCCGAAGAGGCCGTACGTGCACGTATGCATGATTTGACTGACGGTGCCAAACAAATGACCATCTCGGATGATTTGGAGAAAAGTGAAAAAGAGCGCATTGATTTGTTCTACGAATTTGTGAAGAAACGTCGTGACACAAATCAATTGGATAATGTGCAAGTGCACAAAGAGATTCATGTCGAAGCCGATCGTTTGGATATCACTCACAAAGCAACATTGGTTTTGGCCGAATTACTATTCACTCCAAACATTATTCAAGAAGCTCGTAAACATCGCAATTTATTATTGCGTTTCACGCATGAAAACCAAAAGGCACAACGTTATCTCATGGGGTAAGCTAAAATTGGAAACAAGCGATGAAATTAAAAAAAAAAAAAAATTGAAATTAATCTCATTCATTGTACTTGCAGGGGTTTGGAGCAAACCATTTCATTGAATTCGGACAAATTACTGGACAAGGTGGCTGGTATCTTGAAATTGTTTTATGATGCTGACATTTTGGAGGAGAAAACCATTCTGGAATGGTCGGAAAAAGTCAGTAAAAAATATGTATCGAAAGAAATGTCTGAGAAAATCCACGAAAAAGCCAATCCATTCGTTCAATGGTTGCGCGAAGCGGAAGAAGAAGATGATTCGGACGAAGAAGACGACTCGGATCTGGAAATCGAGTACAATGATCGTGCTCATGTTGAACAATTGAGTGTTGTGAAACCATCACCGATCGCCAAGAAATCAGCCAACGATGACGAAGCCGATGACATTGATATTGACGACATCTAAATGCATAAAAAAACATACAAACAAAACAAAACTCTGCACCGAATTTCCGATTCACATGGATTTATGCTCAACCATATATTACATTGCACATTTCTCCCAATCTATATTTGATAAAAATGACTTAATTAGAATATCGTTTGCCGTGCATTTCAACTAAATACCCTCTTGCAAAACAAAATCCATTTTTACTCTTTATTCAGTTTTTTTCTGCCTCGTTTCTTATTCGATTTTATGTTCTAAGAATTCTACAGAATTGATCACGTATTTTAGTAAATTTGAAATGAATATTTGTACTAAAAATTTGCTATGGTTCTTCTTGTGCGTGAAAGAAATCTGTCTAAATCATTCAACGAAAACAAAAACAGAACCGAACATTTTAAATAAGGAACCATTTTGTAATCGCATATATTTTTACTACTGCTATGCGTATGCTATTCTTAAAATTATATATATCCTGCAGGAACATCAAGAATACCAAGATTTAATAAAATGGCATTGAATTTAATGAAAATGAGCAATAAAAAAAGCGATCGTTATTTAAATTTTAAATTTTCAAATTTTGAAATTTCAGCCAGACAAAATGATTGAATAACATAACCTAATTGTTGTCATCTTTTGACGGTAGTATTTTCACTTATAATTGATAATTCATTCAATGACAGTTCAAATCAATTGACAATGGGCTTACATCACACAGTCGGAGGTTAACCTACATTCAGTATCACTCATCAATTGTTTAGATTTTGAAATTAATTAAAATAATTTTTGTGGATTGGTTTTAAAAATGTACCAAACTTTTGCGAAATTAACTCGACAAGGAATTTGTAGACAGGCTACATGTCTTCAACATTTCACGCGATCATATTGTTATAAGCCAATTGGTAAGACAAACAATAAAAATATTAAAATGTTCACGTTTGTTTCATTATCTTTCAATTGCGTTGTATTTTTTCTTCTTCTTCTTCTTTGCACTCTTTTTTTCTCGGTGCTTGTGAATAGAACGCAAAATATTTACAGCAAAAGAACTGTCACCAAATGGCGAGGACGAGAGAGAATGGCGAAAAGTTACCTTCACAGAAAGATATTTGCTTTCCAGCAATGAAACAAACGGAACAGAATCGCTGCAAATAGTGCAAACACTGCCATCAGATCCAAAAGACTTCACAAAAGATAGTTTAATTGAAACCTTTGACAGATTGGGTGCATACACCATTGGCGATGATGCTTTAATACACGGAAACTATGACGTACTCATCGATGCCACAAAATTGATTCTTCCAAAATTGAATAGAACGCAGTGTGTACACATTTTCATGAACCTGTGTCGCGCAAATGTTCCCATGTTCGATGAATTGTGTGAAATTGTCGTGTGTAATTTGTCTGAACGTGTTGACAGTAGTATATCACATATCTATTATTTAAACGAAGAAAATTATGAATCGTTTACGCTTGACGAAATAATCGCAATTGATGTGACAATTCGTGAATACTACTATAAAAAATTAAAATTAAGTGTTTTATTTGACACATTACGTAAATGGATACGTAAAATATTCACTTTCAAAATGGAACATAATGTGAAGAATTTTAGTTTCACAGAACTGACTAAAGCTATGCGATACTTGAGCAGTAATACAACGTTGGTCGAATCTTTTGATACGAAACCCTTATTTCAACAATTGCTTGCAGCGAATGATAATGAATTTCAATTGGCCGATGTTAATTGTATACTTGTCACAATGTCCCGATTTAAGAAATTAGACGAATATGCGCGTCAAGTTGTAGACAAAATGTTTAACATTTGTTGCAATAAAGCCACAAAATTTAATGACGCTTTTACGATATTGCATAGTTTCTATGATCACAAGCCAACATTTATGGATTTTCCACCGACTTTTGTTAGTACGAAATTTATAAATTGCTGCATGCAATTGATGCTACAATCGGATCATTATGAAGACAGTCTTCGTCTTTTGAAATGCTTTAATTATTTGGTTTGTTGATCACATTATTTTTTTACATTTTAATTCTTTAGAAATGTTTGCTGATGATTTTGTTTTTATTTTTACAGGGCATTGTCAACGTCGAATTAATTGACTATATATCGCACATGTTCAACACGAAAAAGCACGAAAATATGTTTACGGAAATTGATTATGTGTGTTTAGTTGAGACATGCAACCGAGCCAATTATACGCCATCGAATTGGAAATCGAAAATTGTGCCAGCGATTGAAAGGTCATCAATTAATCCAAAGTTAACGGGTCCATCTGAATTTGCAGTAGCTTTAAAGAAATTGGGAATTAATCACAAAGAATACAGCAAATATTCCGAACTTTTTAAAGACATCGAAAGAAAACACAGGTCAAGTGGAAAATGCATCCCTTCAAGTGAAATTGCGTTGGATTTGAGGAGTTTTATTGGCGCCAACAAAATACTGTATGATGTTACTGTAGCCGATGACCTGACCGTTCAAATTCTAATGAAAGCCAATACAAAAACTGGCGATTTTCTAGATATGAATAAAGGAACACCGAAAGAGAATCTCTTTTGCAACGAAAATGAAATGATGTAAGTGCCACCTTTAATCAAATCCAAACGGCAAAGTTTTGTATTTAAAGTTGGTATAATTTCAGACTTGCTGTGCTTGTTGGAGAAATTGCGTCAAAAAGTAAAATAAGCTTGTACGAACAGAAAAAGATCCTCGAAGAAAAAGGATATGGTGCACTGGTAATTGAGGAAAGTGTATACAAGACCTTTGCGAAAAAATATAAACAGGCATATGTACTCTTTGAATTGATTGTCGGAATAATTAGTAAAATGGAAAATGGAAGAAGAAAGAAATAGTATTGAAAAAAAAAACAAGCTGAGAATATAAATGATATGATACAATTAATGAATGGAAATTTTTAAATCATCGCACAGCATAAACAAAGTGGCATAAACTATTAATTTTTGTTTAGAAAATAAAATTAATAAACAAAGAAATTTTATTTATTTGTTTGTTTTTTCTATGTATTTTCATCGTTTACTTCAAAATATCTCATTTGACAATCCCTGGCAGCACATGTTTCAACATTTGACAGTTGAAACGTCATGCAAAATCATTTTTATCGCATGTTATATGATGGAATAGAAGAAGATTTTAGTATAAACTTCATAGTTGAGATTTTCCATCATCCCCGACGTAGAAATGATCGGAATTTTTAGGAAATTATCGATTTATTCAACCGCTGCACGGTACACACGATATTCGGCGATTCGACTGTGTTCCAATGAATCCAATCAACCGGATGATAAATCGGATAATGGTATTCATTCAAATTCTTTCATTCAATAAAATACCAAAAATTTGAAAGATTTTAAAATAAAACACAATTTAATTTCGAAAAAATTCTATTCTGGTAAATTTAAAGTTACCAAAAATTTATCAAAATGATCTTCTTTTCATTCAAGACCTAAAGGCAGCAGCTAAACACACCTTATCCAAATCGACCTCATTTCATCCAAAGAAAATTGAAAATGAACGATATTCAATAAGCGAGGATGAAAACAATCGATCTGTTCTCAATTTGTTTGAATCGATACCATCGGATGCCGGCAAGTTCAACGTGAAAGCGTTGAAAAGTTTTTATCATGAAATTCGTGGAAAGTATTTGATAACGAAATTTTTGACCCTTCATCCAAAGTTTGATGTATTGCGTACAGCTACCAAACGGAAATTGCCAATACTCGATGCATATGAAGTGTCGGACATCTTTATTTCACTACTTCCATCAAAAGTTATAATGTTCGACATGATATCGGAGCATATTGTTGATGCATTGTTAAAAAATGTCAATCATTTTACGTTTTATCACATGTTATTCCTAGATTATCTGATACATAAATACTATTCATTGAATGAATTGAGTAAAAGTTACAACATCTTACGATTAACGATACAAACACAATTTTTGTCAAAAATCGATGACGAATTGGATGGATTGGAGGACTATGGAAAATTAATAAAAATTTTGGCCTTTTGTGAAAATAACGTTGATTTAATTCCGGATAAAGTTCTAAACGCAATAACAACCAGCCTTCTTATGGCCGATAATGACCAATTTTCAATTGAAAATCTTATGTCGATTATAATTTTTTTGGCGAACTTTGGTCAACTTAATGAACATGTACAGAAATTATTGGAGAAATCGACTAATTTATGGTGCCAATCAAATGTCTCAGCGAAGCATATTGAAGTATTATTCAGGATCTTGAAAAAAAAACGCAACACCATCAACAAGGAAATGTTCGAAAATACAGACTTTATTCGATACTGTGTTAATGTTATCATACAAAATAACGATAAAATGACATTGTTTGCAGTTCAAAATTATTTCAATTCAGTTGTAAGTTTCGCTTTCGACTACTTTCCACACAATTCTGTTAACATTTTTCTCGTATTAATATAGGGTTTTGTGAGTGAAAGTCTTATCGATCGCTTATCAACATATTTTCAATCAAAAGAAAGTCTTCGCCAGCTCACTTTTCATGACTATCTCATCATATGCAGAGCATGCCATAAAAGTGGTTACAAACCGAAAAATTGGCAGTCAAAAATCGTCGATGCATTAAAATCGTTCAACTTCTCAGTATATTTAAACACGTTGGGAAGTTTCGATTGGGTAAAATTTGCTTTGAGTCTAAATGATTTGGGCTACTGTGATACTCAATTGATTGAAAGCATCCTAAAAGCGGAATACATTAAGAAAAAACATAACTATGATGTTGAACAGCTGGAAAAATTACAAGAAATTCTTGATCAGAAAAATGCTGACCTCGCAAAAGACAATATTGCTGTTGACAATGAATATGGATTGAAGGAAGCCTTTGTTAATGCTAGTGCTGAAAATCACAAAAATGCTGACCTCGCAAAAGACAATATTGCTGTTGACAATGAATATGGATTGAAGGAAGCTTTTGTTAATGCTAGTGCTGAAAATGTACCATGTTCAGTGTATAAAGATTTGAAATCCATGTTTGGAGATAATTTCATTCGGGAAAATGTTCAAATTAAAGCGAATTTAAAAATTCCGTTTGTATTAAAAATGGACTTAGAAAGTGGAAACTTTCTTCCGATCAACGAGATACATACAAAATTGCTTGCGTCCAAACATAAACTGTAAGATTAATAGCGTCTATCAATTTTGATGAATTTCTTACAAGAAACTAATTCGATCCTCTTTATTCTAGCTTTGCCATAATCGTAGTAAACAACGATTTTAAGCGAGAAGATGCAAAAAATCAAAGTTATCAATTACATAAAGAATACCATATTCCATCAATAGTCATTGATCAAACCAAATGGGACAACTTAAAGAGTTATGAGAAATCACAACAATTTTATAGAAAAGTTATGAAGGCTATGTCAATCTATGAGGGAGAAATTGAGCACTCCTTCGAGTATTGACATTGTAATTAAAAAGAGAAAATTATTTTAAAGAAAAAAATAGACGGATTTTTATCGTAATAATTTGTTTTTTATTTCAATTTCATATAAAACTATGTTCTTTTTCAGAAAATTATAAAATTTCCATCATATCGGCATCATCTTCATCATCGTCATGTTCATCATGACGCTTGCCATTCCCTTTATTTCCATTACCAGCGTGTGCGTCATCATCTCCATCGGCGGCCTTATTTTTAGCCTTTTCACGTTCCAACGCTTCAAGTTGCTGCAGCGTTAGCAACGAAATACCCAGTTGATCTTCACGCGAAAATGGTTGAGCCATTTGACGTAACCATCTTCTCGCTGTTTGCATCGCTTCCTCTGTGCTTAAATTCACATAATTGTCGGTTAGATGCTCTTGTATCCATTTCGGCAATCGAGATCGCTTATCTTGTCGAGAGAATCGCTTGTCAGCAAATATCATTATACCATAGTCAGTTTTGCCACGTAATGCACGACCCACACACTGTGGATATTTGAATTTTTTTTTTTAAATACAAATATAAATATTTAAATTTTTGGTTGATTTATATCACTACATCGGGAATACAAGGTTACCTGCGCAGCGTGCCGCATAGCATCAAAGGTGAGAAAGTCATTTTCGCGAATTTGAAATTGATCTCGTAAATACTCCAAACGTGCTTTCAATATTCTTGACTGGGTATATACGTAGGGTATCCCAAACATAAGTACCTTCAACAAAAAAAAGTATGTAATACCTTAAACATGAAAACAAAACATTGTGATAATTACAGCTCGGCCATAATGATGATCAAAATCTACTCCTTCGGAAACTTTGCCTCTAGCAACGGCCAATAAAATAGCACCTCTACCACAATCACATGCTTTCACATAATTCATCAAAGCATACGATGTTTCTGCACTGTCTTGTGTTTCGATAAACAACAGTTTATGCTTGAGCAACTGGTCGACAATGCCTTGGTCATACCATGATGCGACAACTGATTCTAAATACAAGTACGAGGTGAAAAAACATACAACACCATCTGGCACAACTCTCGCTGTTTCCACCAATAATTGTCCATAATTTCTTATAACCGCTGTATCCTCGCGAGTTTCAAATTTCGATGATATGGCCACTTGGTCGTTACCTTTTGATACAATCTATTTAAACATATAAAACCCAGTTACTGTCATTGTTCAAACAAAATATATTTGCGGACACTTACCATGGGTAATAAACATGGTCTCGCCAAGGTCATGGTGAATGAGCTCATTAGAACTGGTGTGAAATTTAGAATTTTCGGATACATATCAATGGGCGACAACGTACCCGATGTGATTACAACACTTTGAAATCGCTGAAATACTGGTTTCATTGCGATCGATGAGTCCAAGCAGCTAAAATGCAAAATCGGATTGATGACCGTTGGCGTTTTGTCATCGAATGGCTCTACAATAATTGTAAATCCTTTTGTGTATGTGGATATTAATGTGGCAAAGTGTGAAATCTAAATTTAAAAAAAAACGACAAAACCACATTTTATTGAGAGGCGAGCGAGGAGACATCTTTTTAAATGTGCTTACAACAACCAATCCTCCGTAGTCTGTCATGTCGGTGATTTCCAATGTTCGCATCAATGATGCCAATCTCTCTGCACAAAATCTCAGCGGTTTTCGTTCGATGCACACTTTTTGTTGAATGTCTTTGAGAAATCGAGCCGGAGTCTCTTGCACTACATGCTGCACACGTAGTCTCGTTTTTATGTATTCAATGAGACGCTTCATAAAGCTCAAAAAATGGTCAGCAGTTCTTATGTTCCCGGGAACGGCGCCTAGTAACATTAAATTCAATGAAATTTCATCAGCTATTTTCAACACTTCAATATTTCAAAAAAAAAAAACAAATACCTTGGAGTATATCTTCTGGAAGGATTGGATTCGCAAGAACCATATCGGCATCCTTTTCTTCACTGGCCTTTCTTAAACCATCCAACATATTTTGATATTCTCTTTGCAATTGATTTTCGTCTTCTTCTTTGATTCTAAAACATCCGGAAAAAAATGTTCCATTCAATGCACTGAACATGAGTTAATCAAAATACATACTCTTTGACATATTGCTCCAATTTATTGAGTGCCGTTTGTCCCCGTTCGATGGTCCGACGATTGATTTTCACACTCATTGAGTCGATGCATACGTTATCTATAAAATTGAATTTGGTTTGGTTTGCTAAAATGATCAAAACGATTTAAAAAAAAAAATGCAAAGGGTCTTACCGATGTTGTGAGCTTCATCGAATACAACGACAACCTGACGCGACAATTGTTTTGACACAACCTCAGCGATTTTCGGATCCAACAAATAATGGTAACTGTAAACAATGATGTGTGCATTGTTTATGGCATAACGTGCTGTAAAATATGGGCACCAATTTCGATCACGTCCATACTGTTTCAAATCATCCAAATTGTAAATGCCAACTGGTAGAAATGATTCGCGTCCTTCAATATCGAAACCTTCATAATACTGACAAATTGGCACCGTATCATCATGTTTACTTCGTTCGCGCACATGAGCAGCTGTTAATCCATAACACTTTCCATCGACTGCCTTTCCTTCTCGTTCTTTTGATACATCGGGGTGTATGCACATATTCTTACGTGAGCTAAGCACCAAACCGGTCATATTTGGTTGTACGGTTGAATGTTTTTCGTAGTATTCCATTAGAGTTTTCAATTCGGCAATAACTTTTTCGATTTCGGGCACAGTACGCGAACAATAAATCAATTTTCGTATGATATTTGGATTTTCCATCATGTAGGCAACAATGAACGACAACAATGTCACCGTTTTCCCGGTCCCACTGGGCATTTCAAGCAAACAATGTCCCTACAGAGAAATTCACATTTTTATTGATTGGAAAAAGTAGAAAAAAATGCCCTGGTTATAACTTATAAGTCTACCTTTGCGTCAAGAGTTCGCTTCAGCTCCAACATGTACTCATATTGCTCTGGATAAATGTATTCATATGGAAAATACACCAGCAAACCATCCACACTCAACCTATTTTGTACAAACAACTTTTTATGTAAAATGTCCTAGTGCAAGAGTTGACAATTCATTTTTTGGAAGAAAATTAATTAAAATTGAACTTACTTCATATTGACTTCAATCTATTTACTGCGCACTATTGAAATACATCCGTTTTACGGAATTTATTTGTAAACTGTGTGCTGCTTTTTTCGGTTTTATTTGGTAAATGTGATGAGAACCGGCATCAATGATCAAGCAAATAGATTCAAATGTCAATCGAACGCATAGTGTCAAAAGTGGGATATTTTCTCGTCGATACTACAGATTTGCTCAATGACACAATGTATAAACATGTATGTTTTGATTAATATTGTTGAGGTGGATGATGTTTGACAAATTCTCTCGCTTTGTTTCCTATTTCACATTTTATCAATTCGAAAATCAATCAGCTAATTGATTTCGGGCGTGAAATTTTATTTTTCTGACTTTTGCTAGAGGTAAAACATAGAAAATATTACGTTGAAAAGTGAAAACAAGAAAAAACAGAGAATATGTCATTGACACGACCACGAACCAGTATTTTGGATAAGCCTCTCAGCAGAGGAAAGGGAGAAGTTTCATTGAGCAGTTTTGCATTGTTATTCTCTGAACTCGTCCAATACTGTCAAAGTCGCGTATTAACCGTCCCAGAAATGCAAAATAGGTAAGTTTCTCTTCATTGGACATAAAAATACATTAAAAGAGTGATTGTGACACCACCAAAACTGACCCATTTCAATCGACAGGCTCCTTGAATTAGGAAAGGACGTTGGATCACGTGTAATTGATTTGTATTTTGTACGTGAGAGAAACTCGAAGCGTGAAACAAAACTGATCAATATGTTGCTATTCATCAAAACAACGTTGTGGAAAAGTCTGTTTGGCAAAGAAGCTGAAAAACTAGAACATGCAAACGATGACGATCGAACGTACTATATCATCGAAAAAGATCCATTGGTGAATAAATTCATCAGTGTCCCGAAAGATAAAGGCTCATTGAATTGTGCCACATTCTCAGCTGGAATCATCGAAGCGGTACTCAGCAATTTTCCATTCTGGTTCCATTAAGCATTGATTAATTTCCATTTTTTCCATTCTTTTCTTCTGATCAACTCTTAGGTACTCAGCAATTGCGGATTTGTAAGTTGATATTTTTAGATGTTTTTTTTTTCTGTTTTAATTTTGCTGTAGTCGACTTTACATCCTTAAATAACCCACCGACTACAATGTATTGAAATTCCTGAATTTAATCCGATCCGAGGTGAGATCAATCTAATTAATTTTCTCCATTTTTTTTCAGCCGTGCAAAGTCACTGCGCATTGGCACAAGGGAACGACTTATATGGTAAAATTTGACGACCATGTCATTTCCAGAGATCGACAATTGGAGGAGAAATAATAAAACTATATAATTATCATCTTTAAAAAAAAACATGAAATAAAATTAAAATTAAGTAATCAACGCTTTTATTTCTTTTGTAATAATTTTTATTTCGATTTTAGTTTTGAATAAGGTTTTTTTTACACTACGCTTTGAAATGCCATTGGTGTTTTACTCAGAACGCTTTGGCATGCATAAACAGTTGAATTAAAGAATAAAACATTTCAGACAAATTTGAAATCACGATCAGCGTATGAAACTTCACCGTTTCGATATTTTTGTTCTCGTCCATCACGTTCTCTCTTTGCAAGTTTGTAGAAAATAGTCACTGGTGCGATAAGAATGGCAAAACCCCAAAAAGCTGCTTTTCCTGTTGGTTTGAAGTACTCTGCATGTGATGCTCGCATCGCTTGGAACCGATATAAGGCTGGGTCAAACTAAAATAAAGAATAATCATCATATTTTAAGGTGCTCCATTTGAAACGAAATCAAATTTGAAAAACAAAAAATGTTTTTTTTTTTATTTCAATTCCGACATAGATTATTTACAAATTAAATTGATGACATAACACCATCACAAACAAGTCGTGAGGTTATGTGTATTGCGAATTGAATATTTACCATAAAACCACCTTCGCCTGAGCCATGTCGGTTTGGATCAGTCATATCCTTCCAGAACTGTGCACGAAGATCCATGCGTCTTTGATGTTTTTGCAACTCTAGTTTGCGTTGCTGTTCATTTAATTCAAAGTTTTGGAATTTACCCATGGTGACGGAGAGAAAAGTTTTCTTCACGATAGTAAATCGGAGTTTGACAGTTCAATGTATTTTTTTTTCTATTTTTTGGTCGAATCTGTCATTCGACGTGGGACGTCATTTCATCGGTGAGCAAATTTGCTCAATTCGAACTACTGATGGAATGGGCGAGGATATTTTCATTCGGCGAATTTTGAAATTCGAAAGCGACACACTCAAGTTGAAATTATTTTCATTTGTTCTCCACCTGAGTTATTGTTGATTAAGTTTTGAGATTTTATTATTCGATCTTGACGGTTTCAATTTAATGTATACAAAAGGCAGCAAATTTCAATGGAAGAATAACGTTACCTTTTAAATTTCAAACAGCATTGTTCATCTGAAAGACAAAGAAACTCCAGCAAAAATGAATGGAAACACGACATTTGTTTGGCTTTTGTTTTTTTTATATTTATTGTTATTTAATATTATTATTATTATTAAATTTACCTCGATAATATTTAAATAATATTACATTGTTTCTGTGAATGTGGGTGTGTGTGTGTGTGTGTGTGTGTGTGTGTTTATGATTTCTGCTGTTCTCAATGAAATAAATTGCCGATCATTTTATTTTCCTCTGTAGCTGATGCACGTTTTATGTGTGTCGGTCTTTAGCTCAATATCTCTACCAATAAATGAATTCATCAATCTTTGCTTATATTCTAGACTTTTGAATCTTGTAAGAAGGTCTGACCAAAAAAAAAAGTTAACCATCATCGTGATTTCTTTTTTTTTGTATGTGTGTGTATATTTTATTTCCACTGTGCGATAGAAAAGCATTTTTTTTTTTGTTTTGATTGTGAAAATTGAAATCGAAAAATAAATTTCCAATTGAAGAAAAAAGAGTGAAAACTTAACTTTTGGAAGCGATGAAGAGGCCATAAATGAGTTGGAAAATTGACCAATCGGTGATGATGGAAAATGTGCACAAAATGTGCACGCGAGAATTCGAGATCTTTCTATTCTGATCGAGATCGAAATATATATAAATATGATTTATGCGCTCCTCGCATTCAATACCGTCAACGATTCCAAAAGTCAATCAACAGTACACCAACGAAAGAAAAAAAATAAGAATTGTATGATGTTTTGTTTTTGTTCTCATTTAAATTACTTGTCCGTCTGATATCATGATCTAGATAAAGTGTATAAATATCTATATTTTTTTAAGCTGCGTTCAAGGCGTTTCACAAAACACACCTAAATCTACACTCAGAAAATGTTTCGAAGATGGGGAGAAAAACGCACAAACAAGTATATAATCTGTTTTTTTTTTTAAGATTTTGTTTTAATTTAATAAGTTCCAAAAAATAATGAAAAAAAAAAATAAAATCAACAAAAATGCATTTTGTTAAAAAAAAAATTAGGAGGAAAAACATAAAAATTATGAATGAGTTTTTTTGTTGTATTGTGTATGGTGGAAAATTGTGAGGAATTTTTGTGATTTGGTTGCATGAATGATGGGCTTAATGGCAATCAGACAACACATGAAAGCGTCGGCGGCTGACCCTTTGCACAAAAAGGTTCGAGTGAAATATAATATGTATGTGTGTGTTTGTGTGTCTTAATAGATGCACCAATGGTTTTACACATAGAAAAGAAATAATAATAAACAAACAAACGTCAACTGGAATTTCAATGCAGACAAATAATGCATTAAACATTGACTGATTTTTTAAAATGGGCCATCAAGAGTTATTACGGAATTTTTATTGCCTACTAATGCTGCCATTTTTGCACGTGTAAAATGGTGTTTATACTGAAGTTTCAATTTTTTCACTTTTTTCAACTCTTTTTTTTTACTGACAAAACAATACATAAGTAATCATAATTTATGTTTACCTTAGCTTATATATTCTTTCATTTTTTTCATTTTTTTAATTACTTTCCTTAAAATTAGATGCTTTTCATTTTTTTTAAACATTTCACACACGCTTCACAATGTAAATATTCGTTATTAATATTTTTTGTGATTTTTAAAATGATTTTTTTTTCTTTAATCAATTTCATATTTGTGTTTCCATTTTTTTAATTTTTTGTTTCATGTTAATTTTTTCTTTTGTTTTTTATGCAAAGAAAATCAAAAAAAAATCTGTAAATGTTTTCTATGTTTTTTGTATGGTTTTATTTTGAAAATGCTTCAACTATTTTCATTTCAATGTTCATTCCGTGTTTTTTTTTGTTTTTTCTTTCTTGAGTTACTAAACATTCTTAAATGATTGGTTTACTTTTGCTGAATTTGTGTTGAAAATTGTTGTGAAGAGGATGTGTGTTTTTTTTATTTCTTGTTTACTGTTTAGATGAGGATAGTTGTGTAAATTATGATACATCTTGGTCTTCTACATCTTGAATTTGTTCCTTTTGTTCACCTTCACCTGTAGACGTAAAAAAGGGTATGAATCGCATTTAAATCAAATAGCTCTTTTGAGCACATGAGAAATTCATGTCGTGAATGTAGAAATTAGACACTAACCGTCGCCTTGCATATCGGATGTCCATAATGTGAGATTGTCTCTCAGCAGTTGCATGATGAGGGTGGAGTCTTTGTAGCTTTCTTCACTTAGGGTATCTAACTCAGCGATAGCGTCGTCGAATGCTGCTTTAGCTAATCGGCAGGCACGGTCCGGAGAGTTCAAGATTTCATAGTAGAATACCTATGTTGTGTCACGAAAAAATAGCAGCCATCAGTAAATTATTGTGAAACACACAAATATAAATAAATCGAAAACAAATCGAAAGAAACTCTTACCGAGAAATTGAGAGCAAGACCAAGCCGAATTGGGTGTGTTGGTGGAAGATCAGTCATCGCAATATCGCTAGCGGCCTTGTATGCAACTAGTGAATTTTCGGCGGCATCTTTACGATCGGTACCAGTGGCAAATTCGGCCAAATAACGGTGATAATCACCCTTCATTTTGTAGTAAAAGACTTTGCTTTCGCCAGTGCCAGCGCATGGGATCAAATGTTTTTCCAAAACATTCAAAATATCTGAGCAGATATCGCGTAATTCCTTCTCCACTTGACCACGATAGTTTTTGATCATTTCGATTTTCTCTTCAGCACCCTGGATGGACCAATGAAATACCGAACACACACACACAAACAAATTAGTAACAAATATTAATACCAATCCCAATTAGCGAATGCGGAAATTGAACACTTATGTTCACAATGTATACAAACCTTGTTCTCTTCTTTTTGTTCAATGGATGAAATGATTCTCCATGATGCACGACGAGCACCGATGACATTTTTGTAGGCTACCGACAATAGGTTTCGCTCTTCAACTGTCAATTCCACGTCGAGTGAAGCAACCTTCTTCATGGCTTCAACCATTTCTATATATGGAACGGAAACGAAAAAAAACAATGAGAAAAAGAAAACATCATTAATTTTTTTTTCGACGTCATGAAATACAGTAATGTAAAAGAACGAATTGGCAATTCAATCAAACAAGCGAAATGTATATGCAACCAGAGGCCAGGGGCCATAAAGATCATGAGAAATATTTATGCAAGTTCAAAATATCTTCACCTACTTCCGCACACTGTTTAATCACATTCAGCGCGGATGGAATATACAATTGGTCAAGAAGAAAGTATCAGAAATGTGAGCGAAATAAAAATGACTGTCATTAACGAATAGTAATAATATTAGTTGATGAATTCATAAATATGTGCATAACGAATTTATGTTAGGGTGGTCAATAAAAATCAACCTAAAAACAGAAAATAACCATTTTTTTTGTTCATTGATTTTACAGCGACCGAAGCATTAAAGTGCGGCCAACCATTAAGTTTGCCAGTTATTATCACTCAAATGTGTAAAATAGTGTTGTTGTAAACAGGACAACATTAATCTGTGGTTGTTAGCAGCATTGTTGGACGTGACATGAGACGTGAATCATCACGTGAGCTAGAGAAAGAGATAGGAAGGAAGAGAGAGAGAGAGATAGTGATGGCACGTTTGCCGAATGGAATGATAGATATCGATTCAATGAGCGGCAGAGAGCGCGTGTGCGTATATTAAAGCTTTCAAATTCTTTTAGAAAAATTTATCCTCTGCATGATGCTGCGATGACACATACCATTTTAAATCAAAATATTAAATCCATTTTTTTATTGTGAGTATTAAAAGATTCATCGTTCAATATTTCATCGAATAGAAAAAAGACGCTGCGAACTGAATTTTAAATAAAGTTTTCACATTCCATTAGAACATTAACATCATAATCATAAGCTTAACCGTTATTATATTAAAAATAAGCTATAACATAGAATGGAATACATAAAGCGCATATTTAGCACTGCCAATTGCGTGTTTGTTACTTTAATTTCAATGAAATTTTTGTGTATGAAAAATCGAAAAAAAAAGTGGAGAGAAGCAAATGCAATGGGAATATAAAAAAAACACGAAATCGAATCTAATGAATAAAGCAACTTGAAGCTGGTAATTCAAGTTAGTGCGCCAACTCAATATTGAATATGGGTTCTCTTGTCGCTAAGCGAAACAAATACATGTATAAAATCCAACATTAGTTCGATACACAATGAAAGTGTTCATGTATACGCGAAGTTGCTGCTACTGTTGCTATTTCTCTTTTGACTTTATTCTTTCTTGACAAGCTATTTTCTGTTATTTTGCACTTATTTCTTTTCGCGCTGCTTCTTTTTTCTATCGCTTGCTTGTCGTTCATTCTCACTGGCGCGTTTTCACAGCCAGTGAAATTGATAAGCGCTTATGCTCTTAGTCATGTTTTCGTGCGAGGCCGCTATGGCGCAAACAAATACTCTATCTCTACTGCACGATTCTATGGGACAACGACAACGACGACGACGACGACGATCATGATGATGATGCTTCTCTGTGTCTATGTATTATTTAAGCGACACGAAGATGGTATTTTATTTAAAAAGTTATTATTACTTGGTTTATGTACATAATGATGGCAGAGAAATATAACGTCCTTAGTACGTTGAGTAAATATATGCAAATTAAAACAGATAAATTCAATGCAATGTGAAAAACATTGAATCATATTTCATCTGTATAATCTTTTTTTTGTTGGATTTTTGGTTCATGTGTTAGTGTGTGTGTTTTTTCCGGTATATGTGCGTTGTGGACGGACTTTGGTGAACCAATTGGCGTTTCAGTTGGGTAAGTTTTTCAGTGGCTCTTGCAAACTGGACAATGTAATTTACAGCAAAGCGAATGCAATAAATTGGTTTCACTAGTGACAGAACAACAAATACAAATGACTCTAATGAACTCCGACCGCGCATTTCACTCACTCAAACTCTTTCGCTTTCTCTCTCTCTCTCTCTCTCTCTCTCTCTCTTTCTCTCTTTCTGTATGTTTCATTCAATTGTTTCGACTGGTTTTTCTTCATTTTTTCCCATTCGGTCTGTTTTCCAGCTTTGAAAATATGTGGTTTATAAAGCAGAAGACTGCGGCTTTGTATGTAAAAAAAAGAATCTTTCGACTGAGCTGTTATATGATCAGATTTTCACATAATGGAATTGAAAAAAAGGGAAAAAAACTGATAAAAAATTGAGACGAAGCTGGAGACTATCTCGTTGTTACATTTTGCGCGCGCTCGTTCTTGTCAAACTCGAAATTGCCTTGACTATTCAATTAGAAATATTTGCCGAAGCTTTGTTTTTTTTTTTTGATAAATTCCATGTGCTCATAAAATGAATAGACCTTGAAGCGATATATAGACGCTGTATATATCGGCACTCTTTTTTCTTATTCTTTGGTATCTCTTCATCGTCACTTATAAATGACTTTACGTAAATTAATTAAGTGACAACATTGAATGCGACAAGATACTTTCCTCCTCTTTTTTCTATTTCAAATTCTTTCATCCCTAACTAAGAGAGAAATTGTAACATTTGTTTGCTTGAAAATGAAGGTGAAAAGTATGTATTTTATAGATGACAACATTGTAGATCAAAAGCACTTGTAGAACACATACTTCACATACAAAGAGAGCGAGAGGGAGACAGAGTGTAGCTTACGGGTGAATATTTTATTTTATTGTACAATTTATTTACTTATCATATCTGAAAAGCGTCATCCGTACCCATTTCAACAGAACCATAAATCTTTTGTCCCCTTTTCCATACCTCATACACATCATACACGTGCGTTTTCGGTCTAACTGTCACAGAGGACAATTGTGTTGCAAAACTTTTCGAAAATTTGCTTCGCACAAATTACAAATTGTGTGAAAAGACGCGTTCAGGTGAAAAATAATAATAACCAACAATAAGCACAAGCACAAATGTTTTAAGATTTTGTCAGAACGGAATTGTTTTATAACTGTTACATTCTCTGTGTGTTGATTAAATACCCTTGCCATTGGTTGGATGGATAAAAGTTTTTCAAACGATAAAATCACTTTTCTCCGCAGTAATTAAAATGATAAATTTCATGCGGACGAACACTTGCAGTTGTACAACAACAATAAGGTCGGTTGCTCTCAGTGCGCTCTCTCTCTCTCTCTCTCTCTCCATCACTTCATTTTACATGGAGCATAATTAAAATAGAATTTATTTTCGACAAAATCGTTCATTAGTATTTCTTGTGGTTGGCACGAAAAGCTTTGTTTTGCCACGAAGAAGAAGAAGACTTAGCAATGTCGTCGATGCTTGAACGGTTTCAGTTTGCCAATCAATGCATCAAAGATAGATAACGTTCTCAAACTATGGCAGAACAAACACAATTGTTGGAATTCAATGTTCACACATAATCATAAACCGTAATATATTTCCTGTTAAGTTGTAGTATTTCATCGTCATCAAACCTTCATCGTTGCAAAATTTATGTATAGATGTTAACTCTATGCCAATATCTTCACAGACACAAGATGTATGAGCATCACAGCATTATGTTAAATGAAAGTTAAATGTTATTTTTAGCTTACGACTGAAGATGACGAAGGGAAAAAGAGAATAAAATCACGATTCTATGGGGTTCTGTCGCAGTATATTCTCTTTTTCGTGATATTAAAAGGAAATCGAACAAACGTTGGGGGACGAGATTTATGGGATTTTCTGCGCACCAATGCGACCACATCAATCGCAAAACCATCAAAGTTTCCAATGAGATTTATTGATTTTTCCGAAGTGACAGAGAGCAAGAGAGAACAAAAGGGCAAAGGAAAATCCATCACACCAAAGGTCCATTAAAAAAATTGATACGTGTCGGATTTGAAGACGGTGGTTCACATAAAAGGAATGTAAACGTGTGCTTGTTTGCAATGGAAAATCACCACTTCGTGATTCTCAAAACTTTCGTAAAACATTTCCATGGCAAGGTAAACGAACAAAAAAAAATTGAAAGTGTCTTATAACTGAACAAATAGAACCGAAATCTAATCCAAAAAAATTCGCAATGCGATGTTAAATTATTCAATATTTGAGCTGATTATATATATACAAATCCAATTGGGTGTGCAGGAATTAGCATTCACATGACCGCGAATCAGTCAGTTGACCTAAGGAAGGAGCGAGCGAGAGATATATTGAAACGAAAAATATCGAACAAATTACGCTTGACTTACTTTCTATATTTTGTGTGGCGTTAGTTTGTTCGTTCACATATTATTATTATTTTTTTCTCTTCTCTTTCGTGACAATTTTGTTTTCAGTTAAATATTTGATCATTACTTGTGCATGCAATGCAAATGTCACTCATAATTCGATAAGTCTTATTCTCAGCCTGTATAAAAATACATGTGTGACATTGATTGCAATGGCAGTTACTTGTTCAGGCTCACTTGTGCGCGCGCCTGACTCTCGCACAATTAACAGAAATGTTCTTATCAATGTATTGCGTTCACATTGCCAACTTATAATCCACCATCGAGTCAAACAAAGCAACGAAAAACCGAGCATACAACGAACAACAAGAGTAAACACGAAAAAAAAGAGTTAATAATAACAAAAACAACAACAACGATAGAATACATGAATGTTGCTATTTCAAGTGAATTGCTTGTGATTTAATCGCGTGCATGTACGCGCACCGCCATTCCATTATATGTATAGAGAATATGGCATAAATCACGCGCGACAAACAAATGAAGTAAGAAGAAGAAGAATGCGCTGGAAACAGGCACAAGAAATATATCGCCAACTTATAATTTTGACGAGAACAATACATACTCATCCTTAAAATGGAAACCCGAATGGAAAAAAGTGCTTCGTTCGATATATAATTGCCACTTTTACTACCAGCGCCAATTCTTTTTTTATAGGTTTTGCATATTTATTGTGTTCTAAATTTGAAGAACAATTGTGCATATGTATCAAATCCAAATGCAACAACTGTG